GGCTCACATGGGATTTAGCCCTCTTCGCTAAGGGTTCAGACTGCGCCAAAGCGATATGATAGTGACATGTGAGGTCCCATAAAGTCTCGTAGCGGTCGGGCATGCGATCCTTCAGCTGACTTAATTCTTGGTTGGAGGGAAAATATTCCTGATATAGCATCTGTCCCATGGGCAAACCAGAAATCCTGTGCATCTCATGGAGGGCCAAGCCCAACTCCCCTTGCCGTGTCAGAAAAGTGTTCGAATCCGGGTTGTAGAGCTCGCACAAAGCGAAGAAATGCTTCGTGCTAACAGGTAAACCATACATGGTGGCACGAACGGCTGCATACAGACCACAAGCGTGCAACTCCTCGCTCCATCGGCTCAAGACGTACTTCGTCATGCGAGTCCACCAAAGCTTGTCCAAAGAATGGACCCAACCATAAAACCTGTGGCGTGTCGCAGGCATCTCCCGTCCTAAAGCAGCGAGGCGATTCTTCAAAGTAGAAGCAGCGGCAAGAAGCTCGTTACGTGGCGGTGCATCTAACCCCAACACTCCAGGATGTAATCCAGTGATGTGACTCCTGCTCGAACCAGGAGCTGCCTGATGAGTGATGTATCCGCAGTGAATGCTCTCATGCTCCTCCGTCAAGCGCCACGACATCTCCCGTGTCACAGCCTGACGCCGGAGCTCAGTCAACGAACGATGCCGAGGAATCTTCGGCAAATATATGAAACCACTGCCAGTCTTATGAAGCCACTGCTCAGCATCAATAAACACGGCATCCGGATCTCTGGCAGAATCGCCAAATAAAAAGTCGGTCTTCTTGAGAGGCTGGATCGAACTAGCATCCTTCACAAGGGGCGCATCTGTAATCAACTGGCGAAGAGCTCGATGTCCACCTTCCTTCACCACTTGGGCAACCTCTGTCGACGTGCCCGAAGCAAACCGAGAAGTGACTGGGCATCGGAAGGCGAATAATACTCGCCACGGCGCCCGTACACTACGTGAGATGAAAACGCCCCAGAAGGATATTCCACTGGAAGCAAAAATTTAAACGGTTGTTAGTCTCAATCATAAAAGGAAGTTGAACTCATCCTACGAATGGGTAAGATAGAGTCACTGCCTTATAAAGGGTGAGACGATTTGACCATATTATGCACTTATAAGATAGGGTATATCGACTATATATCCCTGCCTTATAAGGCACAATGCAGCGTCAAAACGCCCCCTTTATTGATTTTGAGATATGGTTTTGACCAAGCAAAACCTATCTTTAAAGCGTCGATCCTCACCAAGGAGAATCAAGGCTCTTCCCGATTGCCTCGCCAAGGAGAACAAAATGGGGTGAAAAGGACCAATTTGCAAATTTCCAAGAAAAAAATGGACTAATTTGTAAAATTCCAAAAAAATAACTCACCAGCATAAGAAGGAGGCGCGCCATCAGCCGACGCAGTAGAGGATTGACCCCTCGCAATACGAGACATGAAGACCTGCAAATAAGTTAAGGGATCAGATCTAAGAAAAAGTTCATCTTTTTTGCATTTCTCCCCCCCTGAAAGGTGAGCTCGAGGCGCCAAATCTTAATCCTAACCCTCGCATGCGACCTCACAAATTCATAAATTGAATTAAGCATAAAATATGCTAAAATGGTTGAGGATTTACCTGAAGAAAAGCTCATGGATCCAATAAAAATCAGATCTTGAAAGAGACTCACGCGCTCGAGGGGCCTGAGAGAAATTCTAAATATGGAAGCTTTGAGGGATTTCTCAGTCAAAGATCCAAAGGAAGACTAGATCTAATGCAAATATGAAGTTTTGAGGGAGAACGGATGCTCGAAGGAAGAGAAAAAATGAAAAAAGAGTGAGAGGGGGGGCCGGCCCTAATGAGGGGAAAGAAACCCTCTTTTATAATGTTGAAACAAGACCAAGTTGAACCGGACCAGACCAAGGTGAACCGGACCAGACCTGGTTTGAACCAGAATTCAAATTGAAGCTGAATCGAGCATCAAAACCACTTCAAATCGACCGAGGGTTCAGTCCTTGGTTTATTCTTGCCTCTCCCACACATTCGGAAGAGTCGGAAGATTTTTTGAGCCGAATTACTGCCTTTTTTGGCTCATTATCAAGCCGGTTCAGTTCATTTGGGCACAGAAATCACTCCGAAAAGTATACGAGTATAAACTGCTTCTTAATACTCCAATAAGGTATATGAGTATAAACTATTCCCTATTTTTGGTTGAAAAGTTCCTGGAGAATATTTTTTCTAAATATTCTTAAGGATAGTTCTATGTTGAACCAACAAACACGAGCTAAAGATTAGAAAATTAGGAATCGACTTCAAATTCGAAATTCCGACAACGGTCAGACAATAAATGCAGCACCGGAACTCTTACAGATATTCGACAAAGCACCGAATAGCCTGGAAGATTGAAGGAATCAAGAACGGAGATCATTCCAAAGGTCCCGTTACACCGACTAAAGGTGGGGACGATCATATCCAAAGTATTCCAGACTCTTCTATAAAAGAACGAGGCTGAAATACTTTGGAGGGGGTATCTGTAGGCATATAAAATTGCTTATAGGTCCCTTAGCATAGCTCGGCACAAACCGACGAACCAACGAGGCGACGAGGTTGACGAACCGCACGCAAGCAACGGAATACATCCATTCGAGCGTGGAATCAAGCCAACAGTTCGGGAAATCAACGAGTCATTCAAACAAGAGCGGACTCGGACGAATCACGATCGAATCAAGATCGGTTTCGGATTCGAACCCAGAAGTGAATTTACTGCCAAAACAGGAATCAGATTCACTGCCAAATCAGATCAACAGATCAGAGTCCAAATCAACCGCACAACGGGAATCACGGAACAAACGACAAAATGACAAAACCCAAGGGGGGCTCGGCCAAAGCCGAGCCACCCATGGGTGGCTCGGCCCAGTGCCGGCCACCCATGGGTGGCCGACCCGAATCTGTGCGCGGGCACAGTTCAGAGAGCCTATAAATAGGCTCCCCTTTGTTCATTTAAAAAGGTTGGAACTTTGAGAGCCGAAACTCTGCCGGATTGGAGATCGAGTTCGAAGTTTTGAAGACCTGAGGACTTGAAGATTCAGATCTGATTCTCAGCGAGCGTCCACGTCACAAAAGGCAGGTGTTCGAGAGGTAAAAACTCAGATCTAAGATCTACACGAAACGATTTGTTCAAAAGGAGAAAGTTATAATTTTTATTTTTTTCTTTGATTTCGTTGTAACCGGATCTAAAAAAGACCGGATCTTTCTGTAACCGATAAACTGTTACCAAAGAGTGCAATGAATTCAATGAAGAAAGCTACGATTTTCACCGCGAACAATGGTAATGGCCATGACTTGAAATTCATTCAAATGGGCTAATGTTTATTCCTTTTCTGCTCGGAGAAAATCGTAGGATAGAAATGCTGGAATAGTAATAATAATTTGCCCTTGACCATCCAATACATATTATGTAATAATATTGTAATGTTAATAAATTTAATTGTTGCACATAATTTGGGTATTATTTATATAATTGTTATATATATCCTTAGAAGTTATTTTGTTAGATCATGCACTGTGATGGTCACTTACTTGGAGATATGATCTAACTTAGAAATTTCTTAATTTTGTGCTTAACCTATAACTAGTAAATGATAACTTTGTTATAACAGGTTATTATGCATGACACCGATACATGAGATATGGTGGTGGGTCTCGACCATCGGGAATGGAGATTCTCCGAGTGTATGTCATAAGCACGCATTATGATGTGTGTAGCACTAGACCGTATTTGAATTCTCTAGGATGAGTCACCTAAGAGATAGAGAATTCAAACTGTTACATGGTCCCTTTGACTTGATGATATTGTCATTTTCGATTTGATAATTTAGTATGCTTTGACATGATGGTTAAGCTTGTTTAGCAAGCGCTACACAACCTGAAACATTGGGTTGCTAAATTTTATTTAGGAAAATGATGGATGTCTAGATAGGATCCAGTATGCTCATTATGATGAGTTAATTTATTATGCATTTCCATGAAGCTATTAAATTCCTGTCGGCAGGTGGTTTTGAAAATATTTTTAAAATTTTACTTTCTTATAAAAATAAAACATTTTGATGTTTCAAAATGATTTTTATTTATGTTCATGGGAATTGCAAATTTAGGCATGAGCAAATAGGTGAGTTGTCCTTCTTAAAAGAGTTGCCTAAAATAAATGATACTAGAATGGAGTGAATGTAAGATATTATTTAATCCCATATTATGGAAGAGCTTTTATGAACAGTTGGTCGGATAGGGATTTGATTGTTAAATTAAAATTATTAATTTGATTAACAATTGGTTCTCGATATGGGACCCAATTGGTCTCACTAATATCATTAGAAGAGGTATACATGCAATGCAATTCTATTTCTATCCTTAATTGTTATGAATAAAGTTTTTGAACAAATCTATTCTATCTTTAATTGTTATGGATAGAGTTCTAAATAATTATGAATTGTTTAAAGTTAAAATCTCTAAGACTAGTGTAATCCTATAAATAGGGTTCATATGTAGCCTTATGAGAGGAGATGGATGAGATTGAAAATCTTATGAAGATAATATGAAGAAATAGATTTTTGAGAACCTATCTTTTAGTATTGCTCCTCTACGGTGACGGGTGGATTTCAATTGGAGGCTTTTTCTCTTGAGGAAGCTATTTCGGATTGATCTCGGGACAGATTATTGTAGAAACTCGGAAAGCGTTTCAGGTATTCTTCTAGTTTTTAATCAATTTTGATTAATAGTCATGATATGTTTTTTTCCGCTGTGTTATATGTCATGATTCCAACAAGAAAATCTACTTTTAGAGACGGGAAAAACATAGTTTTTAAGGAAAGCACATATAAGTTAAGTAAAATGATAAAGAATGACTATATAGAAGGAAAATGCACAAATAGTTTGCTATGTCCAATCACAAGCAAAAACCATGCTTGAGAATTTTAATTTTAATGATCTTTATGTAACTTACAACATTTCATAAACAAAATAGTAGATCTTGTACTTATTTATATTACCGCCAGTTATAAATTATTCAGCCCAAAACCTATTACCATCTGATCCTATTAACATCATATGAACATTTTCTCCCTAGTAACTAATGATATAAACAAAAAGAAACTACAGCATTATATGATGAACTATGTCTACAAAGAATTGATACTACCCTCTTCTTGCCCTGCTCAAATCTAACATTTAACAAATAACTCTATTTCAATGCAATGCTCTAAAACTCTATACTCTTCCCATGGGAGAAAATGGAGGATCAAGGATGAACAATGGTGTCATCTGTTCTGTCTTCTTATTCGATTTGTCGTCTGCAACAGCTTCTAGCAAAATTTTCACTTCTTGTTCAAGAAGTAATTTGAGTGAATTTGAGTAAAACATTTGCTTGTTGTCATGGTTGAGAGCAGAGGGTGCTTCTGAACTGTGAAGTATAGAAATGCAAATGGAGAATGCTTGTAATGCTGATAACTGAGCATGGAAATCAACTGAATATTGTCCTCTGCCATTAGATGTTATCGATAGTGCCGGTATCTTCTCTTTCCTTCCCTGTTAATACATAAAAAGATAACTTCAGATCTCTGGAAACATAATGGTAACATAGAAAAGAATAGAAATTTTGAAATGCAGATGAAATTCTAAGAGCTTATACAACTCTACATTGTGCTATAAATATTGTTCTATATGTTCACCTCATTAACATGATATTCATGCTCCTGATGCAGACAATTTACAGAAGTATTCATTTACTGATAAGAACAACAACAACAAAGCCTTTATCCAGAATTGTTATGTTCAGCTACATGCAAGTCAATCAATATTATGTTCTTCTAAGTTGCCTACCACCAAGTTCTCTTAGTCTACCTTTGACGTTGTTGCTCCACTAGTTATAATCTTATCACTTCTCCTGATTAGTGTATTTTAGTAGTCTTCATTGCATATGGTCAAACCATGATACCATCTTAATCAATTATGTTTCATTTAATCCCTAATAGGAGCAGTCTCTTATGGATGTTCTGTTTATCTCATAGCATATATTCACATATCCACGTTAACATTCAGATTTCGATTATTCTCATTTTTACCCTTTTGAGAAACTAATAAAGAAAGAATTATGAATATCTCTTAATGTTTTTTCCCATGGTAGAAAACACTAAAAGCTAAAAAGACTGGGAAATAAAAGAAAATCCTCTTTAGTATATTTACATTTAAAATAATGGAACATAAGGACAAACTAACAAAAAATACTTGCTTGAGCTATCATCATAAATCAGTAACTTTACATAAGCTGTGATGTGACTACTTCACCAAAATATACATATGAAATTTATGAATAGTCAAATAGCTTAGAGAAGAAAAAAACATATAAAACATGATTTCTTTCATATTCATATTTAACAAACATCAAAATGGAGAAAGCACAGACAAGTTAACAGAACAGTAGTAGCATCATCTACCATCAATAACCAGTAATCTGCAACAGTCATGAACAATCTTTAGGCTTGTTTCGGCTACTTTAGAAAGATCTCGAACATAAAATTCATGAATTGTCCAAACAGTCTGAGACTGTCAAAATTCAGCAATCAGAGAATTACTTGGATAATAGAAGGTGTGTTGCCATGGAATTTGATGTAATGATTCAAGTTCATGTTTATAAAAGGTATATTAGCATGGTCTGCAAAACAACATATAAGATAGAACTCAACCTCTGTATCTCTATTATTTGAGTAAGCAGCTAGTACCAAATACACTAGTCAGCTAAAATATACTAAATATATAAATTTTCAAGCATCACTTCAGTGGTTAATGTGGCATACTTCCTGTGCTAGATATGTAACATACCTGAACGAAGAGCACCATTTGCCATTGACTTCCCTTTGCCAAATAATCCCCAACATAATTATCAGTGCATGGATTTTCGATCACCACAATAGGACAAGCCATATCCCACCCGCCACAATCACATCCTCCACGATATCTCCATCTATCAAGCAATGACGAGGGTCTACCATCCTCACTGCTCGGTAGTCCATGTGGACCACTAGGAATTACAACCCTTACATTGGCATGATTCGCGATTCCTCGTTCTTCAGTACTTTTATCTTCTTCTACTTCTTTCTTAATAAAAGGAATTTGAATCACAACAGCAGCTATCTCTAAATAAGGATGCAAATCATCCATTGACCACGGATGAGAAGTTGAAGGATTTGAATCGAAATCACTAGAAGGGCATCGTTTCGGGCGATGCTGATAGTTCTCTGTGTCAGTTGAATTACTCGTGCCAAAGCTTTTTCTAGCATGGGCAATGTCATATAGAACAAATTCTGTTACTATGGTACTCTCCAATGAAGCGGTGTCGCTAACTTCTGAACATAAATAACAAGAAGATTGCATTTGGCCGATAATTAAAGGATCTTTGGAAGCACAATCACTGCTGGTAGTACCTTTCTTCTTGTATTTGTAGAAGGTATAAACCCAATTGAATGCATTATCGGTTCTCCATGTTTTTGCCAAAAGAACATCCTCAGGATTTTTTAGTGCAAATTCATACGATGGGGTATCATTCTTGTAATTCAATTTAAGAGTGGCATGTAAATGAGCTGGTGAAGGAACCATCATCAAGATTTTGTCTCGTTCCACCATCCCACCATCATAATTCGTCTTTTCAGCTGGCTTTGAGAACTCATTCGATGAAGATTTGTGGAATACTCTATGCCTCTTGATGGTTGGAGGATTTCCAGGAATTTCTATTTCCATGGAAGATGGATTTCTCAGATACTTTGATTTCATAATAGGATCCAGCATCTGTTTAAACGGACTAAACCGCAATTTTTTACTGGCTTTAGAAGCCCCTTTTTCTAATTGACTAGGAGTATTGAACATTACTGCCTTCGCTGAAAAGGACTTGGGAAGATTGCATGTGCTGTCTCTATCAGAATTTTGTTCTTCAACTGATCCTTTTTCTCTCTTCTCATTAGAACGTGAGCTAAACCCCTTAGAGCCTGAGGAAGAGCAATTGAGCTTTACACGCTCTTCGGTAGAATTTACTGGAGCTAATGGATGGATGTCAATAAATGAGGTTCTTGATTTGGGGAAGCCAGTGGCTTCATTAATCTCAAAAGACAGGAACCCTTCATCGCTGCATGTTGATTCTACATTTCTCCTCTCATCTCTCAACCTCCTTATACTCTTTAATTCTCTAGAACTTTGATATACCGATCCCCTTTTCATTACCTCACAGTTTTTGGCATTTTTACCATGCGGCCTTGCTGGCATGCTTCTCCTACGGGGACTAGTAGAATAACTGGGCCTTAATTCTCTGTAATTGTCATCTGATCTCCTTAAGTTGTTATATCTGTTCCTAAGCAGTTCTTTTATATCTTTCTCATCTACTTTTGCTCTGATGCAGGGAGGTTGATGAGCAGTTTTTGGCCTTGGCCTTGCTTGGAAAAGGTCCTCACTTTCCAAAACAACATCTAGTCCCATAATTGATATATTGAGCTGCAAATTAGGTAAATAAACAAATTGATAAACTAAAATGGATATGAGCAATGATATGATTATGTTTATTGAGTTATGAGGCTAATGAGTTCGTTCCACAAACTATGAAACCAATTACAGTAAAGAATAGAAACCTTAAGGCATAGCCGAAAAGGTCTAAGTAAGCACTCGTTAAGGAAACAGAAATATAAGAAACCTTTCATTGAACTAGGTACCTGAAATTTTTATTATGATATAAATAAAATGGGTACCAGCTATCATCTTCATAAAGTAAAGTTTTTCACTTTTCAATCCTGCAAATATGGAGTTACACCAGTGGTGAGATAGAACTGCTCCGTAACACTACCGCAAAAGTAGGAAGCCAGGTGAAAGCATAAAAAGATAATATGTAATTCCACTTAATTGATAAGTGCCTAAAAACTATGATCACATTATATCATAAGCTAAAGCTTCATTCAGTTCGAAGATAATAGATCTTCAAAACAATGCACAAAACAAACACCAACTAATCAAGTAGGTCACAAACCCAAGGTTAGGGTTTAATTTAAGTATTCTCATGAGAGGAAAGGAAAAATAGATGTCCTTTTTTGTGAAGATGTCCTGCAATTTGAGTTATATATTTTCATTTGTTTTTAAGAAATATAACTTACTCAACATGTTACGAGTTTATAATTTCAAGAACAGAATGTCAAATGCAGAATAAGATACCCAGCACGACACAAATTTTCTTTTCCATAAATGATGAAGATATTATGCAAAGGAAGAATTATTTTGTGTCAAACGACCAAGACTTCTTTATGCCATGACTCACATTCATGAAATCCGTTATGCCAATTGACAGGAAGCATCGTATAAGTGATCAACGATCCGATTAATATTTAATTACATGATCAGTCATCAGCAATTAAAACATGGGTATGAATGTCCAAGTAAGTGATGAATACAATGATCAATTATCCAATTAAGCCGCTGCCGAGACAGAGGCGTGGAATGACTTACTTCTAACTGAATACTAATGTGTGCCCAATTGCACAAAAGCTGCAATATAGGGAGTAAAAATAGCGAGAAAATTATAGATGAAAAATTAAAAAAATTTAGATAAAGCTAGAGATTTCCAGCTCTTCTATCTGACTATATCACCCACAAAAGCTACTCCAATAACAAATTTTACAGATCCAAGTTCTTCACTTTCAACAATAATCTCATAAGAAAATGGTAATTAAAGTCACAAGAGAAAATATTAATACCCATTTTCTTAAAACAAACCAAATGAGAAGAGAAAATACTGGCTAAGTGAGCATCTCACTCTTTTCTAATCCCCACACAGCATGCTAACAACAACAGCGAGAAATCATGGTACAAATCGATACTTCATCAAAATTGGGCATAAAACCCAACCATCAGGTCTGGACATGCAATCTCAAAACAAAAATACCCAACAAATCCTTGAACCCATAAATTTTGATTAGCATATTAATGAAAAGCAATGAGAAATTACCTTTGAGATGAAGATGATGGAAAGATAGCTGGGCCTTGAGAGATCCTGTTTTGGCTGATGCTAGGAATGGAAGAAAAGCACAGGGCAAGTGGGAGCAATGGGAAATGCAAATCTCTGGCGCTTTTGTTAAATATAAAACAAAACAGTAATTAGAGCTTGGATTATTATATTATTTGGGTTTTAATGGAAGTTTTTAGCCTCGGTCTTTCTTTTCAAAAAGCTGTGTCCTTACTCCACTGTTGACAAGGGCCGCTTAATTATAATGGGAGAAATTGCTGGGAACACCCCCGCCATCTTTGGAAATTATAGTATGGCAATTTTGTGAAAATCACAAGAAGACTAAAGTACTATAAAATATTTTCGTTATAGGAATACTATAAAATATTTTCGTTATAGGGAAAAAAAACTAAGGTTTTCGAGCATGGGGCTCCTCCCTGATACATGATAGTCCAAGCCATCGCTCAAGAAATATATGGCATATTGATTATGTACTATTTACCCTAAAAACTATCAATGATTAAATAGCTTAAGCTTTGCTTTTAAGTTTTATAAAATTACCATGGTTAAAACTACTAATTATCTTCGAGTCGGCGTTATTATCATACAATTATCATGAGTTTTAAGTATTATCATTAAACCATTATGCACTATGTTGATAATATGTGATATTTTTTTTACTGATTTAAAGTTCATAATCTGTCTTTTGTATTAATATCCTGCATCTCCTCATTGCGCATAGAAGATGCAAGTGAACGTTCCTACACCGTTCAAATTGAGAATGAATCTATAACAATGTGTTCGCAATTTTAGATTAAAATTATTGTTCAAAAAAATTAGAGTAAGATCTTTCTCAATATGGAGCCTGAGCTTCATCCCCTGGCTCGAGCCATTTTCAGTGCCAGGAATAACTAGATCTAAGGTTTTTAAAATTTTCTATTTTTATTTAAATTTCAAAAAAAGAAGTTTTAATTTCTAAATATAAAAAAAAGGTTTCTGATTTTTTTTTTAAATAGTAAATCAGAGATTCATTAGAAAGTGTCCACTAGTCTATAAAGGTTGAATTTTTTATTGCAAATTTAACATCCTGAATGTTAAAACTTAGAATTTTTATAGTCTGATTGGAGTGAAAATGTTGATGTCTAATCGGAAAAGAAAAATGTTGTGTGCTATAGAATTAACGTGTCATATTGAAGATAGATGTGTTTTTCTACTATCAAGGGGGTCGTAAGCTCGTAACCACATAAAAATTGCTAAAATAACATAAAAAAGCTAGCAAAAAAGAGCACAACAAAAGACTGAAAGTACAAATCTTAAAGCAGATCAAAACGTTCATGGAAACCAACTTGTTAAGAAGTATTGTTTTCACCTATAGAACGACGTGGAGGTGAATAAATGAGATGGTTAATAGTCAAATCTTGACGATCCAAAATTTATTGGTTTGTAAATTATTTTATTAAAGGACAAATTTTCAAAATCAACCAATTTCGAAATTTAAATAGCAAAATCGACCTTTTCGAAATTTATTCAGCAAAACCGACCCTTTTCTTCTGAAAATGGTCGGTTTTGCTGCTGAAGAATTTTTACGACATACACGGGACTGCTAGTCCCGTGTATTTCGTGGCAGTTTCGAATAACACGGGACTAGCAGTCCCGTGTTTTTTACAGAGACTAACATCTCTACAAAAATGAAGTGCACGGGACTGCTAGTCCCGTGCATTTTGCAGAGAGTTATATCTCTGCAAAAAAGAAGTGAGCACGGGACTGCTAGTCCCGTGCACTTCCTGGGCGCAATGAAATGCACGGGACTAGCACTCCCGTGCATTTCCTACACATTCACAACTATGCATGCATTTCTGCTACGGGATAATTCCCTGTACAAACTCATATTTCAAATGCAACAATCATAAATTACACCATTGCATAAACACATATATCAATTCCCTGTACAAACTCATATGTCAATTCCCTGTATAAACACATATCAAATCTAAAAATCATAAAATACACCACAAACTTACGAATCCAAATCCAACAAATCACGCCAAAAACTTACAAATCCAAATCCAACAAATCACGCCACAAACTTATGAATCCAAATCCAACAAATCACGCCACAAACCCACTTACAAATCTAATAAGTCACACCACAATCTCGGCTACAAATCTAAAAACCATCTATTGTCCCGAAATACGTTTGTAATGTACATATCAAAATAGGATTGTAATTTATATAACAATACCGATTAGCTTACATACATCCAAGAACTCTTCTCCTCCTCCTTTGTCTTCGGCCTCCTCTATCCCGACATTCGATGAGTTCATGATCCGGTTGCGTTTGTGGTTGTGACGGTCCAGCTCCATCGTCAACACGTTGGGAAGGCCCAACTTCATTGTCGTTTCTACGTCGTCCTTGTTTGTGTCGTTGTTGACGTGTGTATACTAATTGCGCTACTTCTCGTCCATCATGAAGGTCTTCATGAGTTCGATGTAAGGCTTGGTGAAGCCTCTGCATTATCGACTGATATATTGATGCATGTTTCTGTGCTTCGGGATATGTACCTGCGAGAGATAATTCAAAAAAATCCGAAATGCAAAAATTACTTTAAAATTCAAATTACAATATGTAAATTTTATATTTAATTCTATATTACCTGCTCGAGCCAATTCCAAGCCACTATTTGCAATGGTTTGAACATCATCTATTGCTGATACCTGCAAATTTTTAAAAAAACATAATTTAGCAATATTGAAAAATTCTAATAAAAATGAACTTAAAATAAATTTGAAAATACTTACTAATTCTCTCTCATCTATACCCCGAGGCACATATCCTCTTTGCAACTCAACCAGGGATGTGGTCGCATGGAGTATCCATCTTCTAGTTATCCTCCAATACCAAGTGTAGTAATCTGATTCCTGGGGAGTTGGCTCGATTTGCTCAACAATACAAAAATATCTATCATTCCATCTGTGTATAAAGGAGAATATTTTGGGTGAAATGAAGGTGACTCGCGTACAGTGTGGCTACTGTTAGCTCTTATGTTTTGATGATGTTTTACAACCACCATTATCGGTACTAATAGCTTATTGAGTGCAAATGTAGTGTTTTGATGATGTTTTACAACCACCATTATCGGTACTAATAGCTTATTGAGTGCAAATGTAGTGAATTCATTTATCAAGCTTGTTAGACCACCATTATCGGTACTAATAGCTTATTGAGTGCAAATGTAGTGAATTCATTTATCAAGCTTGTTAGTGTTTGCGTCGAAAATTGCTGTTTTCATTGCTATTGAATCTATTACAGCTTTAGTCGTTACAATAAACTCGAATAAAATAAAAAAGTTGATCTTTTTATAAGATCTCCTTACACAATAAAAATAAAAAAGGTTTACAATTTTATCAAACAAACGCAGAGATCGTTTATCGGTCTTCTGCTTGCGTGGGATCTTTGCCTGTGCCGGGGTTTATCCGTGGACGACCGTCGATCTGGATCCGGTTAATGGAAAACTCGGCAGAGCTTCGCCTTCACCGAGGTAGCGTTTGATTTGAAGCGCTGAAATCGACCAAGCAAAATCAGGGCTCTTCTCGAGATTAAGACCAAGCCTAATCTCAAGGGACGGACGGACGGGGTTCATATCCTTCGAATAGCTCCTTCTTTATGCCGAAGTTCGCCAGGATCTGATTTGCCTTCGCTGAAATTCGTGCTCCTTGACTTCTCAATCCAACAGCACCTCCACGTCTTGATAATAACTCCGTCCCGAGAAATGAGCACCCAAGCTCGTATTTATAAGCTTCGGAAGCGGTTATTTGGGATAAGAATGAATGATCTCTCCTTATCTTCAGTTAATAACTGATTAACAATGTTTGGGGATGATATCAGATCAGTTGGGATGCTCAGGAACCAACAAATCCTGAGAAAACCCGTCAAAAACCGAACAGGGGGTCAAAACAGCGCGCGGGAGGAATCTGACCCGTGGGGGCGCGGGTCGGCTCGAGTCTGGAATGCTTTGGATAAGATAGGCCATCTCCTCAATTTCGTAGAGTGACCTTGAACTATCTCAATTCTTAACTTCTTCAGTCTTCAATCTATTCATTGTTTCGTCGAATAGGTGAAGTTCTTCCGATGCTGCATTTATCGTCTGACCGCTGTCAAAATCTTGAACTGAGATTGGTGTGTAACTTTCTGAACTTAGCTCGTGCCATTGAGTTGACTTTGAACTGATCCTCTCCGTCGGAAATTCATATCTGATTGTAATTAAAATCCTTGGAGTCATCTTTTGCCTTATTTTGGCGAGATTGCCGATGCGTTGACCGATATCGATATTTACTGTAACGCTTTGTGCGGCGTTGACTTTAGTTGTAACGCGTTGACCGGCGTTGACACAGTTTGTACTCGTACGTTTGCTAGAGTCTACACAGTTTAAGCTCTTAAGGTATTGGAGCATGACGGTCCCAAATGTTGGGCTACAGGACCAACTATTAAAGCTGATTCATCTGCATGTATGGATCTTATCTCGAAGTTATTGGATGTTCAAGTTATGAGACCAAATAATGAAGCTGATGCGTCAATGACTCGTATTTATAGAATTTTTGGCAAATTCTCAGCCATCAACGGGTTTGATAAGCCTTTACCGACTACCGTTTGAATCGGGCTAGTATGTGAATTATTAAAACCCGTTTCACATGTAACGTTATGCTAAGAGAGTTAACTCTCTTAGTGCTATGATATTGAATACTTAGACTTCGTCTTTCTTACGGGAATAGACTACCCGGTAATACGTGTTAGGCGTTGACTTATCCCTACTTAGGCTTCAGAATAAAATTCCCCATGCATAAAAGGCATGGATTTTTATTGCTACGATGCTGAATAAGTAGACTCGGTCGTTTTCACGAGAACGAACCACCCAGCAGCACGGGTTAAGCGCTGACTTATTCCTACTTAGGCTTCGGGATAAAATGCCCCAGACTAGATTCTGGTGTCTTTTTCAATCGGTGAAAGACTAAACCGGCAACGCATATTAGGCGTCGACTTATCCCTACTCAGGATTCGGGATAAAATTCCCTATGTATAAAGGCATGGATTTTTATTGCTACGATGTTAAATACGTAGACTCGGTCGTTTTCACGGGAACGAACCACCCAGCAGTACGGGTTAAGCGCTGCCT